GCCGATAATTTCTTAAATATGGCACCTGAAAAAAACAATTCAATTCTTGGTATATCTTATTAATACATTTAAAAAAATGATCTGAAATGAAGGAATCATTGACAAAGACTTCTGGCATGTTCAATTTTAAGCACAAAACGAGAATATACTAAACGGCAAATTCACAAAGTAAATATATATCGAATAAATGAAAACGCAGGGATGCTACTTCAAGCGTTCCACACATATGGCAGGCAATGAGCTAGCGATGCCAATCCGTAAACGAAGGCGCAAGTCTTGTTAGGACATTCCAATTCACTTCTTCCCATGCAACAGTTGCACAAAACGCATATTGTAATGGACATGTGTGTATATGTGTTTGTGTATGTATGTGTGTGTATGTGTGCGTGTATGTATGTGTGTATATGTATGTATGTGTGTATTTATGTATATGTGTATGTATGTGTGCGTGTGTGTGTGTGTGTGTGTGTGTCCAAGAGCATTTTGTCCGCAACTTTCAATTCAGGGGACGAAAAAGCCAGGAAGCTGAAAATTTAGGGGAATGTTTCTCGCCCATGTGTAATCCCACAAATTTAATTTCAGCCTTTCCCCCGCTTTTAAGAATCACGTACTACCTCGTGAAGGTTTTGACGGGGAAAATTATTATCTCGGGGATCATGAGAGTTGGGAGTTTGAAATTTTGGGGTAATGATCCCTGCCCGCTGTGTCCACCAAGGACATAACCTCGCAAATTTAAATTCAGCCTTCTCACGCACCGGGGTATCAAATGCGGCCCCCTGAAAATTTTGGTGAGGAAATTATTGCCTCGGAAACCACAGAAGCTAGGAAGCTGGAAATTTCAGGGGGATGTTTTCTGCTCACGCAGAGGTCTCACAAACTCAAATTTAATTCCTACGTATGCTGAGATCTCACATATGATTACGTGAAAGTTCTGGCGTGAAAGTCACCCGAAAGCCAGAAAATTAAATGGGTGTTGGAAGAATGTGCACCGTCCAAGGTTTCGAATTCAGCCTTCACGTACGTTTATGTTTCACGTACAGGTGTGCGAAATTTCCTGTGGGAAATTCCGCAACTAAAGAACCAGACAACGTATCAACTATTTTTGTAAAAAACAAAGTGTAATACAGTGAAAATCCTTAGCAGGCAAACATTCACTAGACGGAACTACGCAAAATGCATGAATGCATGGCTACCCTGGTTCGTATCGCTATTTATTAATGTGTATAGCCGTCTCATCCAAAAAAACGCAGCACAGGTCTTCTCGATTTGGCAGCTTTCGGCGAATAAACTTGCCGCACTTCAAGGCTGTTATAATTGTTACTAACTTCTAACTACGATGGTTTCTTTGAAATACGAGGGGACAAAAGCAAAAAAATAAATAAATGGACAGAGCTCCGACTACCGTTGCGAAGATGCGTTTTTTGCATAGCTCCCGCACGTTTTTGTCAATAACGACACTGTTTTTCCGGTAAATCAGGCTAACAGAACTGAGACTAGCCACCAGGACTTGAAAACATCCCCTTAAGTTTTTACCTTTTCCAGTCCCCGAGTTAGCAGCTTGCCCGCAAGGAAGTTTCAGAGGCTCGTACATGTGAATCACGTGGGCAAGAGTGTCCGTTTTGGGGGGCGAGGGTCCGCACGTGCATGCAGATTAAGTTTACAGAGTTTCAGCTCTGTAGCTTTTACAGGTCTTGAGATGAAAAACGTGACAGACGCACAAACGGGCATACAGACACACACACACACACACACACACATACATACACACACACACAGACAACCCCTCGTCAATATGCGTTTTTGCATTGCATAGATGCAAGAAAATGCATAACAACTAATTGACTTACTATCAAATTTGGCAACTTCTGATGCAAACTGTAATTCACCAAGCACCTCTTTGACAGCTGGTTGATTGATTATGGTTTTGAACCACCGATTGAGATTAACAAGTGGAGTCCGTGCTTTTTCATCCAGAACATACTGAAACAGAAATACTGTTGGATACCTGGGGGTACTGGATTCTTTCTGGCTATCGTCCAAAAAATATTAAGGTACCTGGTAAGCTGGTAGCAAATCCATGGCCACAGAGATATCTGCAAGTGACATCCGCTCGCCGACAAGAAAAGTTTTTGTTAACAGCAGTCCATTTAGATTTTTCAGCTGATCGAACAGTTCTGTTCGGGATGCTTCCAATAACTGCAAAAAAATCAACACTTCAACTTCTAGGTTTTCATTAATTGTCAAAATTCGATTGTGTTCCTCTCCACGAAGGGTCAAACACGGCCATACAAACTGCATATGTTAACACATGGAAGATTTCAGGTCCTCGTCCCCATTCAATCTCCTGGCCAGGGATATTCATTGCTTGTATCTTTAAAATTTCTGAAACATCTATCACGACCCTAATAGTTAGATTATCAGACCAGTAAAACGTCCCGTCCTATATACATTTTTATCAGTACATCGTAAATCAAAAGGATAATGCAAAAAAAAGGAGGTGAGGCTCTGGGGAGTCCCAGAACAGAAGTATTAGTTATATATAAGTCGCAGTTGGAGATCGGTAGCAGTGATCCCGGCGATGGGGAGGAATGCTTTTATACCCCGGGGGAAAAAGATCGAAAGTTCAGTGAGGGTAGGGTGGTTAAAGTTTAAACCAGGGACAGGGTACTGCGTCGCAGTTGATCTTTAACCTATTTTTAACAAAAACCATTAATCATTATTTGATATATTACGCGATACATCTGTAAACAAACAATAATTACAAAGTAAACATATTCGAAGCAAAAGTGCTAGAATAAGGTCAACTGGGGCCCAAGCGGCTTTACGGATGGATAAGCTCGTTCGCATTTAAGGAACAGTCTTTGATCTCACAATCCACACGTTCTATTTCATTTTGCATAAAGGAAAGTGAACAAATTCCGTTTAACGGTCGATTTTTGAAAATGGGCTAGCTGACCAGTGAGCAATTTTTTCGCCAAAACTTTTAAGTGTCCTTACGTGAGACCCACGCGTACCTTGGGGCTGAATTTGAAGTCTTTAAGTTCTACGTGGACGGGGCGACGTTCCCTTAAACATGGGATATTTAAATCAAAGAAACATAAGATAAATATTGAGAGGGATCCCAGATAACACTATCAGCATGTCAAATACGGCTGCTCAAGCAACAGGGTTGCGAAGCACTCGAGTGCGCGTTATCCAAAAAAAAAACAAGATATTAGGAGTTAAAAGAGTGTAATTTTTGGTACCGCATATAAGATGACTCAATTTTTATTCTATTTTTTTGTATTTTCTAATTCCGATTACAGGACGGAGAACAAGGCGAGGATTTCTCCTTTACACAAGTAGACCTATGCCAAGTTTATAGGTTCATTTAAAAACAATAAATGGCCAGCCACCGACTGCCGGTGCAAAGATGCGTTTCTTGCATAGCTCCCCGCAAATTTTTGTCGCTAACATCACCGGTTTTCCGGCAAATGCTACTAGTTAAAATGAGACT